GTCAGGGGGCACCGGGGCGTCTCCCCCCTCAGCCTCGGTGGCGCGGGGACAGGTTCTCACACTGAGTGCCCCGGACGCCAGGGGTGAACGGACAGGGCCCCAGCGCGCCCAACGCTAGCAAGGTCATCAGAGAGAAGACAGAGCTCCCCTCCTGTCCCTGCAAGCACCACGGGCTTGAGCAGGAAGGGGAGACGGTCCTCGAGCCGGGAGCCCGCCCGCCTCCCAGGCCACGGCACCTGAATAAACCCCTTTGCTTTTGCACCAGCACCTGTCCCTGGAGGTTGGGGTTCGCTGCAGCAGGCAGCCGCTGCTGCGTGTTTGGTCCCGGGCGCAGGCCTCTGGGGTGACGTTGGGGAGGAGGGGGAGCGCCGTCGCTGGGTGTGGCGCCGGAGCTGCGCGGCGGGTCCCTCTCGGGAGAGGAGGAGGTCACGGTGGGCAGCCTGTGAGGGGCGAGCAGGTAACAGGCAGAGCGCAGCCATGGGTGGGGGCGGGACTTCGGGCCAGCGGGGGCGGGGCTGAGGGGCAGGGACCCCCTGATGCCCTGCGGGAGGCGGGGGAGGCTGAGCATGCCTTGGGGGGCCCAGGGGCAGCAGGCAGGCCCCAGGGGCTTCCCTGTGGCTGGTGCCCCCACCCCTGGCAGGTTCTCAGGAGCCAGGGGAGCCCCCAGCCCTACGAGCGAGCAGGGACGCTGCGGCACCCTCCGCGGCGACTCTGGGGCCGTCTGGCTCCTTGCTCCTGCCTGGCCTCCGGCCTCTGGGCCCCGGTCCCTGCAACGGTAGGGGCCCCCTCATCCTTGTGACACGGCAGCCGGGTGGGCGGGCCTGTCTCTCAAGGCCGGGGTGCCTGCCTGTCCAAGGAGAAGCCCCCATCCCGGACGCTCCCGCAGGGGAGACCGGCAGGGCCCTGGGCCGGGCAAGGGCGGGAGGCCCTTCCCTCCCCACAGGCGGTGCTGCCGCCCAAGGCTTGGAAGGTGGGAGGGCCGGTGAGGGGAGCCTGCCAGCTGCCACCCAGGCGCTGATTCACGCAGCCTCGGGGGCTGCGCGGAGTCGCGGGTTCAGGCCCGGGCAGGCTCCCCGCAGGCCCCGCTCGCCCCAGGCAACAAGGGTTAGCCCAGGACAAGCCTGACCCGGCTCCCGGGGCCGGGCCTCCGGGGCGGGACGCAGCGTTGCCTGCTGGGTGGTTCCAGTCTGCCTGGAGGGAGCACCTGAGCTAACAGTCCCTCAGGTCATGGGCGCGGTGACCCCCTTGTGTCCTGTTTGGGAACGGACCTAAACGCCCCGAGCGCGGTCGGTGCCCCGCCCAGGGCGCTGGGCAGCCCGCACGGCCGTGCGGCGGTCACCCCGTCGTCTCCGGAACTTCCCGTCTTCCCAAACGGAGACCCCGGCCCCCTGCAACGCTCACGCCTGCCCCCGCGGCCCCTGGCTCACCGCCCGCCCTCTGTCGCTACGGCTCTGGCTCCCCCAGGGCCCTCCTGTGAGTGGGGTGCGCGGAGCCTGTGCCGCTGTGGCCGGCTGCCTTCACTGGGCACCGAGCCCTCGGGTTTCCCCGTGGGCAGTACCCAGCGTCTCCCCTTTGGAGGCCGAGTGTTATTTCTTTGGCGTCTTTCACAGACCAGCGTGAACCTCTCTCTGTGGCCGCGTTGCCAGGCCTCTCGGAGGAGCAGGCGGCCAAGGGGGGAGCGTTCGACCGGCAGGCTGTGCCGGGGCAGGAGCCCGCCTGGGTCTGCGGGGCAGGAAGGACAGGCCCGCCCCAGACGACCTGGACACGGGGCGCACAGGGCGTGGCCTCGCCGGGGGAGGTGGGGCAGGAGTGGGCTGAGGGCAGGGTGGCCTCAGAGATGGCATCAGCGAGCACCGCCCGTGCACCTGGGACAGACACCATGGGGACGGGGACTCTGCAGGCGGCTCCCAGCTGACCCTTTGCTCCCCCGGCCCCAGCACGCGATCCCCATCCTCACAGGCCCAGCACCCTGGGCCTCCCGGCCCTGCGTCCCCGTCCTCCCCAGACAAGGTGGGGAGGCAAAGAGCGAAAGCGTGTGCCCACTCCGCCCATCCCCCGCCAGAGCACCGACTCCCAGCACACGTCCTTGTCCCCCTCCTTGGCCAAGGCCAGGTGCCGAGGTCCCCTCCCAGGAGATCAAGCGGAGGGGATGCGAGGAGGTGGGGCCCGGAAGGAGAGCCGGTGGGGGCAGGGGACTGTCGCGGGTCTCGGTGCCGCCCCTCAGGGGCCAGGCCAGCGGGCCAGGGGGTGGGGTGCAGGTGTGCCGGGTTAGGGTTCGGGGGCGGGAGCAGGCGTGTTGCTGGGGGTCTGCGGGCAGGAGGCTGGGGCGTCGAAGAAAGAGCTGAGGGGAATGTGCACCCCTGCCCTGAGCAGGGGAGCGAGGAGCACCGGAGTTCCTCCCAGGGGAGCGTTGCTCTGTGGCCGGCGGACACGCCGGGGGAAGCTGCACCCAGAGGGGCGCGGTCCCGTTCCCAGAGCGAAGCCGCCGGTCCCTCGGTGCGGCCGCAGGGCCGTGGGGGGGATTAAAAATGCAGTGTGAGTTATTTGTGAAAGACTGTAAATTCTAGTTTTGGAAGTGGCCCAGAAGCTAAACCTGAGGTGACAGAAATCCAGAGGGCACCGGCCTTGTGTGCCATGCCGGCTCCCACCCCGCCCTCCTCTTCCTCTCTTCCTCTCACCGGCCCGCCCCCGGTCCCCCAGCCCTGCCGTCCTGGCCTCCTCCCCACAAACGCAGCCCTTATCAACGCTGTTCCCTGGCTGTTATCAGCAGGCGCTGAGAGTTTACGGGGCACAGTCCACTCGAGGGGGGTCCATCTCAGGGTAAGGGCACGGCCTTGGCACCGCCGCGTCATGGGCCCCAGGGCCACCCGGGGCTGCTCCCAGCAGAGCAGGGGCGAGGCCCCTCCTGGCCCGAGGCCGCGGCTGCGCAGAGCTGTCCCTGCCCCGCTCCCCGCGGTTCCTCCGACAAAAGGAACAGGTCATGGTCCACAGCGTTAAGTGATGTGCAGTCAGACTGAAGTGGGTTTTGAAACGGGGGCGTTCTTGGTGACCCCGGAAGACACAGCTTCACGGTGAAGGGCCGTCCCCAGACCAGGAGTGGCCACAGCGCGGGACGCCCCGAATGCAGGCACGAGCGTCCCAGCTTCCCTCCCCTCGGCGCTACCTCGGCGGGAGGGTGGCAGGGGTCCCTGGCCCTCGCACCTGCCAGCGCTGCCAGGCCCGCGTCTGCGCAGAGCCAGCCTCTGCGACGGTGGCACCTGTCTTCCCGCTAAGTGCCCGCGGCAGAACGTGCCCACGCGTCTGGGCAGCCGGGTCAGGGGCCCCAGGGAGCCATGGCAGGTGCTGCCCCAGAGAGTTGTGGCTGGGCTCTGCTCGGAGCTTGTCCCCGAGGCCCTGCTCCCAGGGGACCCTGTGCACTACTCTGCTGCACAGGGGATGCCCACACTGGGGTCTGGGGAGGGGCTCGCCTGGCGGGGGGCCCGGCCAGCCCGGGAGAGGCCGTCTCCACCTCGCAGGGCTCAGTGGGAGCATCTGACCGGTCTTGAAATGCACGAAGTGCCCCCTGTCCCCAGGACGTGTGCTCGGGCGGCAGCCCCTGTGGAGGGTGGCCAGGTCCACAGGGGCCCCAGCAGGAGGGCGCGGGAGAGAGCAAGGAGGCCCCCAGGGTGCCGATGTGCGCTGACCGCACAGCACCTCGGACAACCCGAGCGCCCCCAGGGAGAGCCAGGGCCAGAAAAGGTCCTGGGGGAACACGGGCCCTCGTGTGGGCCCTTCCTGTGGGGGGGGGGCAGCAGGGCAGGGGCTCCCAGGACGCTGGCCCCCCCCCCGAGCTCTGGCAGAAGGCGGGGCCAGGGAGACAGCACCCCGCGGGGGCCTGTCCCTGAAGGCGTGCGGCCACACAGTGCTCTCGGGCACACCGACTCCCAGTCTGGCTGCGGAAAGAAGCTGCCACAGGTGCAGCGGCTTAAACAGCACACGTTCATTCTGCCACAGTCCTGGAGGTCAGAAGTCCAAAACCAGTTTGCTGGGTGGCGGCCCTGGCATGGGTCCAGCCGCACTTTCCCCAGAGGCCCTGGGGTCACCGGGTCTTTCTCAGCTCCCAGGTTCGGGGGCCCTTCTTCCAGCCGGATAGCCAATAGCCTCCCTGTCCTTTGCCTCCATCTATGACACCTGAGGACACACACGGGCCACCTGGATGATCCAGGATAATCTCTGCATCTCAAGACCTTGAATTTAATCTGGTTGTCAAAGGCCCTTTGAAAGAGGAGGAGGCTTCCCCAGGGGCCCGGCTGGGGCCTCCCGCCTTGGGGCTGGCGTTGAGCCGCCCCGGCCACACCCACACAAGCATTAACGTGCTTACACGGGCAGACTCCGCCAGGGGAGAGGGGAGCCCCACGCGCACAGGGCCTCACATGGTCCCACAGGGGTCCCACACGCTCCTCACACCCAGGCCGCCTCCCATCAGACGGCGCAAGCCCGGTTTTGGAGGCCACAGAGCCCCTCCCTGCCCCGCTGCCCTCTGGCCCAGGTGAGAGCCTTCCGCTCCCTGAGAGCACGGCCAGCTCCCCCTTCGTTCTGTCGGCCCACACCGAGGAAGCAGCCCTTCTTCATCACTGCTTCAGGACCTGACCTCGTTCTGAGCCAGCCGCCTCCTCCCTGCAGTCTGCCCTGATACGCACAGTGACCGGCACACAGCCGTGCCTCACTGCCACGCCCCACGGGTCCTGGGGGAATGTCAACCAAATAAAGGAAAGGAGGAACTCAAAGGTCAGCGGGCAGAGCTCTTAAAGGGCGATGGCACACAGGTGCACGGAGCCTGAGCTTGGCGGCTGGACGTCCGTCGGACAGACATCTCAGTGCTGGCCGAGCTGAGGCGCCTGGGCCTGGGGCATGGACGGGGCTGCACTGCCCCCCTAGGACTCAGCTCTAGTCGCTGCAGAGGGGTCGCCTCCCCCATCCCCACCTCCGCTGCTGGGTCCTCGACCTGGCGGCCCGTCGCCATGGACAGGCCAGAGGCTCCCTGCTCCAGGTGAGTGCTGGGCCTCAGAGAGGCCACTGGGGAGCCGGCCGGTCTCAGCCCTCTGGGGCTGGGGCCTTCCCCGCCAGCTCCCTGCGCCTCCGCACGCCCACCCACATCCTTCCCCCACGGCCCCAGGCTCCGGATTCTAAGAGTGCGTCCAGGGGTCTGTTCCGCACCAGGCGCCCACCCTCAGACCCCCGTGCAAGGCCCCGGGCTCGGGGTGGGCACCGGTCAGCAGCGTCCAGTGTCCGCCCTGGAGTGCCCCCACCTCACCACCAGGCGGCGACACTTTCACGGGCAAAACCTGGGAGCGCCCCGGAGCAAAGCCCCTGACCCGGGTCCTGGGAGGGGCGGACCAGAGCCACCTGCGGAGGTCCCGGCGCGCCTGAGCCCCTGCCCAACACGGGCGCCCGGACGCCGGGTCGATGGGCGGTGAGGCAGGACCGGGTGTCGGGAAGCGGCCGCCCGCTGACCCCGCCCGCTTGCGCGCAGCGTGCAGCCCCGCGCCGCCGCCGCCCGCGAGCTGCTGCTGGCCGCGCTCGAGGACCTGAGCCAGGAGCAGCTGAAGCGCTTCCGCCACAAGCTGCGGGACGCGCCGGTGGACGGCCGCAGCATCCCGTGGGGGCGCTTGGAGCGTGCGGACGCCGTGGACCTCGCCGACCAGCTGACACAGTTCTACGGCCCGGAGCCCGCGCTGGACGTGGCCCGCAAGACCCTGAAGAGGGCGGACGCGCGCGACATCGCGGCCTGGCTGAAGGAGCAGCGGCTGCAGCGTGAGCGCGCGGCGGGGCGCCGCCGGGGGGGCCTGCCCCTCCCTCCCCTCCCGCCTGGGCGGAGTCCGGGACCCCGGCCGCCCTCCCCTCCGCTCCCTCAGGAAAGCCCGGCGCGCCCCCTGTCCGCGCAGGCGTCACCTGCAAGTTCCCGAGCCCCGGGGCTGGGGTCCACGGGTGTCCCCGAGGTGGCCACAACCCCCCGCGCCCCTCCCCCGCGCGACCCCCTGGCCTCACGACAGCTCCTCCTTCCAGGGCTCGGCCCCAGTTCCGCGGCGCTGCTCTCCGTGTCCGGTAGGTCCCCGGGTGGGAGGCGCAGGCCCCGGCTGCCCCGGGCTTGGGGCACAAGCGCCCTCGGGCCCGCCCGGGTCCGACAAGCCGCCCCAGGGAGCAGCGGGCGTGGGAGGGCCGGCGGGGCCGGAGCGCGTGGGACGGCGGCGGCCTGAGCGCCGGCTGACCGGCCCGCCCCGCGCAGAGTACAAGCGGCGATACCGGGAGCACGTGCTGCGGCAGCACGCCAAGGTGAAGGAGAGGAACGCGCGCTCCGTGAAGATCACCAAGCGCTTCACCAAGCTGCTCATCGCCGAGGGCGCCGCGCTGGAGTGCGAGGCCCCGGAGCCGGGCGGGGACGAGCCGCAGCCCGAGCGCGCCCGGCGCTCAGACACCCACACCTTCAACCGCCTCTTCAGCCGCGATGAGGACGGCCAGCGGCCGCTGACCGTGGTGCTGCAGGGCCCCGCGGGCATCGGCAAGACCATGGCCGCCAAGAAAATCTTGTACGACTGGGCGGCGGGCAAGCTCTACCAGGGCAAGGTGGACTTCGCCTTCTTCATGCCCTGCGCGGAGCTGCTGGAGCGGCCCAGCCCCTGCAGCCTGGCCGACCTGGTCCTGGACCAGTGCCCGGACCGCAGCGCCCCCGTGCGGCAGATGCTCAAGGCGCCCGAGCGGCTGCTCTTCATCCTGGACGGCGCGGATGAGCTGCCCGCGCCGGGGCCGGCCGAGGCTGCGCCCTGCACGGACCCCTTCGAGGCCGCGGGCGGCGCGCGCGTGCTGGGCGGCCTCCTGAGCAAGGTGCTGCTGCCCAAGGCCCGCCTGCTGGTGACCACGCGCGCCGCCGCCCCGGCCAGGCTGCAGGGCCGCCTGTGTTCCCCGCAGTGCGCGGAGGTGCGCGGCTTCTCTGACAAGGACAAGAAGAAGTACTTCTACAAGTTCTTCCAGGACGAGCACAGGGCGGAGCGTGCCTACCGCTTCGTGAAGGAGAACGAGACGCTGTTCGCGCTGTGCTTCGTGCCCTTCGTGTGCTGGATCGTGTGCACGGTCCTGCGCCAGCAGCTCGATCGCGGCCAGGACCTGTCGCGCACCTCCAAGACCACCACGTCCGTGTACCTGCTTTTCATTGTCAGCGTCCTGAGCCCGGCGCCCGCCTCGGACGGGCCGCGGCTGCAAGGCGAGCTGCGCAAGCTGTGCCGTCTGGCCCGTGAAGGCGTTCTGGAGCGCAGGGCGCATTTCGCGGAGAAAGATCTGGAAAGACTGCAGCTTCGTGGCTCCAAGGTGCAGACGCTGTTTCTCAGCAAGAAAGAGCTACCAGGCGTGCTCCAGGCCGAGGTCACCTACCAGTTCATCGACCAGAGCTTCCAGGAATTCCTTGCTGCACTGTCCTACCTGCTGGAGGACGAGGGGCCTTCCAGGGCACCGGCGGGTGGGGTGCAAGAGCTTCTGCAGGGGGACCAGGAGCTGTGCCACCACCTTGCGCTCACGACGCGCTTCCTCTTCGGACTGCTGAGCGCTGAGCGGCTGCGAGACATTGAGCGTCACTTCGGTTGCGTGGTTCCCGAGCGGGTGAAGCAGGACGTCCTGAAGTGGGTGCAGGACCAGGGCCAGCGGCGCCCGCGAGTGGCGCCTGAGGGGGCCGAGGAGACCAACTTGCCGGAGGGCACTAAGGAGTCAGAGTCGGACTCGGACTCGGGCTCAGACTCGGACTCCGAGGGGGAGGGGGAGGGGGAGGCGGAGGCGGAGGAGGAGGCGGAGGAGGAGGAGTTCAGCTTCCCGCTGGCGCTGCTGTACTGTCTGTACGAGACGCAGGAAAGCGCCTTCGTGCGCCAAGCCCTGCGGGGCCACCCTGCGCTGGCGCTGGAGCGCCTGCGCCTGAGCCGCTTGGACGTGGCTGTCCTGAGCTACTGCGTGCGGTGCTGCCCCGCTGGACAAGCGCTGCGGCTGACCAGCTGCGCACTGCCCGCCCCGCCGAAGAAGAAGAAGAAGAGCCTGGTCAAGCGCCTGCAGAACAGCCTGAGCGGCAGCTCGTGAGTCTCGGGGGCGGCTCCCTCCCTCGGGCCTGCTGGGGGGGGGGTGGCGCGGGATCACCGCCCGCGCCCCCGGGTGCCCTCTGGGCACGAGGAGCCTGCCCACCCCAGGCCAGGTGCAGGGCGAGGAGCTGGTTCTGCCCACCCCGTTGTGAAGCAGCCTGCCAGTGCCCACCTCCCCCCAGCCTGCACCCTCTCCGTGCCCATCCCCAACAGCCCCAGCCTCCCATGACCAAGGCAGGCCCCGCAGGGTGGCCAGGAAGCCTGGAGCAGCTCCCCCCCTTCTCAGAATAAATCCTGGAACGCACCGAGCCCTCTGGCCCTGAGCCTTTGCGCCTGCCACCCCTCCACCCAGGGCACTGCTGCCTGCCCCGAGGCCAGCCCAGGCTCCTGCCGCGGGCCTGGGGCTCCTTAGGCCCCAGGAGTGCCCCCCGCCACAGTACATCGTGACCCCAGGCCAGGCCCGTCTCCTTCGCGAGACCCTCAGCGGCCCCAGGGCAAGGCCGGTGCCGCCGTCCCTGGCACTTAGCTGCAGCCCAGCAGCTGCCCCGGTGCTCAGCACCGGCTAAGGGAGCGCCTGCCAGGAGTTGACAGGGCCTGAGGACACCCGCGCAGGTGCACGCCTGGCCCCACGGGCCCACGTTGCGGGCGGCAGTAGGGAGGCGCATGGGGCCACGGGTGAGAGGTTGCACTTTGCGTTTGGGGTGGGGACACAGGCACATCCAGTACCCGAGGACCAGGGGAGGAGGGAGGGACTGGGAGGGGCCGGGGGCTTCACTTCTGTCTCTCCCGGCAGCTCCCAGGGCACCACGCGGAAGCCGCAGGCCTCCCCGCTGCGTCCGTTCTGCGAGGCCCTGATGGACCGGCAGTGCGGTCTGACCAGCCTGACGTGAGTGACCACGCCCCCAGCCCCTGCCGGGGATGGACCCGAGCAGGCTGCCCTGGGAGGCACGGGGTGTGCCCGCCTGGGGACGGCTGAGGGGCGGGCTGCGAGCCTGGCGCCTCTGGCACCCGGTGCTGGGCCGACAGGCTCTGCCCACTCAGGGCAGAAGAGCGGGGGGCGGGGCCTCTCCCGGCTCAGGTGCTTCTTAGGGAGGGGGTTCGAGTTGGACACGGTGCAGCTGAGCACTGGGGGGCATGGAGGAGAGCAGAGTGCGTTTCCCGTCCAAGGCGGGGTATGCGACTGCTGAGCCGTCCCCCTGGGCTCTCGGGAGCAGCACAGGGGCCCGGCCGCACTCGGCCCCCTTGGGCCCATCGGTCCGTCCGCGCGCCAGGCCACTCCCCTGTGAAGCAGGCCGGCCAACTAAACGGCAGCCCCTTAACTCGAGGGGCGCATGCGTGGCGGCGGCGTGCGGAGGGTCGAGTCTGCGCAGGTGCCTCGTGACGCTCCTGTGCGGCGCTGCCCTGGGGGAGACGGGCGTGCGGTCCAGCGCCCGCAGTCCTGGTCCTGCCCCCGGGGACACACGTGGTGACAAAGGGCAGTGAGGCCGCACCGCCCACGCGTCTCCAGACTGAGCCTGGGCCCTGGGAGCAGGCCGTCTGCATGGCCGGGGGGCCTGAGACAGACCGTGTGCTTCTGGACCCCAGGCTGTCCCGCTGCAAACTCCCGGACTGGGCGTGCCGCGACCTGGCCGAGGCCCTGAGGCAGGCGCCCGCCCTGGCCGAGCTGAACCTCCTCCACAATGGGCTCAGCGAGGGGGGCCTGCGGGCGCTGAGCGAGGGCCTGGCCTGGCCCGGGTGCCGGGTGCAGACGCTCAGGTGAGGCCGGGCCTGGGAGGGGCCGGGGGAGGGGTGGCCCCGCGGCAGCCACTGAGCCCCTGAGCTCCGCACTCCCCCCACCCCCCGCAGGCTGCAGCAGCCGGGCCTGCAGGACGGCCTCCAGCCCCTGGTGGGCCTGCTCCGGCACAGCCCCGCGCTGACCTCCCTGGACCTCAGCGGCTGCCGGCTGTCAGAGCCCATGGTGACCTACCTGTGTGCGGTCCTGCAGCATCCCGGGTGCCGCCTGCAGACCCTCAGGTGGAGGCAGGGGCAGGGGCAGGGGCAGGGAGGGGCTGGGGACACACCCGTCGGGCCCAGGCTGGGGTGGGCCCGTGGGGCTCCTCTGGTCGTGGGAGGCTGTGGCCCTCAGGGCGGAGCACGCGGTGGGTGGGGGACAGGGGGCACCGGCCCGCTGAGGAGGAACCCCTCCCGGGTCCCCCGAGCAGCCACAGTCCCTGGAGGTGCAGCCCCCAAAGCCCAGGCCCAGCCCTCACCTCGACACTCCGCCAAGTGTCCATTTGTGGCCTGGTGCCCAGGGCCACAGTTGGGTCAACGAGCCAACGCCCTTCCCCTTCCCCAAGACGTGGCCCCCAGCTCCTGCGCCTCGCCCCGGCCTCTAACGACCGCTCACGGGCCGTCTCCTGTCCCTGAGACGCCCCCCGTCCCTGAGACGCCCCCCATGGCCGCACCCCCTGCCCTGCACCCTTCCTCCCTCCCGACCGACGCGCCCCCCCGTCCTGTGTCCACGCCGCAGCCTGACCTCCGTGGAGCTGAGCGCGCAGTCGCTGGAGGAGCTGCAGGCTGTGAGGACAGCAAAGCCAGGCCTGGTCATCGCCCACCCGGCGCTGGACAGCCGCCCTGAGCCTGTCCACGGGTTCAGCACGGCTCTCTGAGGCCCCGAAGGCCACGGGGCCAGGAGGGCTCCCGCCAGCCCTGCGAAGCAACTCTCCCGGCGCCGAGGCATGAGGACGTTGCTCCCCCCTGTGGGACCCTGGGCCGGAGGGAGGGGCCCATCGGACACGGTCCCTTTTGTGGTCCTGGACAGGGAGGCCCGTGCCCTGGGGGGGCCAGAGACCACTCCTCCCCCAGCCTCCACTTCGCCCCGGCCGCCTCCCTCTTCTGGGGCCCCCGGGAGCTAAGCGCCTGCCCGTGTTGTCCTTTCCCGGGTGAGCCGGGCACCGATCCCGTCTCCGTCTGCAGCCCGGCCCCCATGCCCCACAGCGCGGCCCCGGCCGCCAAGGACCAAGCGTGGGCCGATCTGGAGCGGAAGCAGACGGGCCTCCGTCCCTCCCCAGGAGTGAAGCTGCCCGAGGCCCCGGGGCGGAGCCCAGAGGGGTCCGCGGGCGTCTAGCAGAGGCCAGGGCGGAGCGGAGGAGGCAGCTGCCCGAGGGGCTGGCCGGGGGCGGGCGGCCCGTGCCCACCGATAATAAAGCCTCCTTGCGTTTGTCGGTTTCCATCGCACGCGGCCACTTTGCTCTGGCACCTAACCCACCCGGACGGGGCAGGGCCGAAGCCCCCCTGCAGAGAGGGGGAGACGGGCTGCAGGGAGCTCCGAGGCTCGACGGACTGGCCAGCAGTGGGCGGTCCCCGCGTCCTCAGGCCTCCTTGCTCCACACCGCTGGGCGTGGCCGGCTCCTGAGCCCCCGTCTGGATGGAGGGGACCCGGGAGGCAGCTCTTCCACTTCCCAGAGCACATGCCCTTCTGTGGTCACTTTCAGATACGGTCATTCGGTCTACAAGCCAGACAAAAGCCCCAGCCCCACCGGAGCTGGTGTTCTGTCAGGGGGACAGGCCGGGGACACGCAGGGCCAGCGCCGTGGGGGAGAGCGGCGCAGAGCAAGGGGACGGGAGAGAGGGAGCGAGGGCTTCCGCTGCGGGTGAGGGCCGGGGAGGCCAGGCTGAGGACAGGGCCCCGAGGCCACCCTGAGGAGACCGCTCCGGGCCGCGCACGAGCAGGCAGGCTCCCCACTCGCCAGGGCAGTGTCTTGGCCAGCCCAGGCCGCTGCGACAAGGCGCGTGAATGGACTAGCTGTGAACAACAGGAACTTATTTCCCACGGCCCCAGGGGCTGGTCAGGCCACGGTCGAGGGGCCAGCCAATTCCGCGTCTGGCCAGGACCCTGTTTCTGGCCGCAGGTGGCTGTCCTCTCGTGGTCTTCAGGTCGCAGGGGCCTCCCTTGCTCTCTGACCTCTTATACGGGCCCTTGTCCTGCCCTTGATGGTTCCTGACCCATGGCCTCAGAGAGGCCCCACCTCCAAATACCACCTCACTGGGGATTAGACACCAACAGACAGATCTGCGGACACGTTCAGTCCACACCAGGGAGCATGCGCCAGAACGTCGGGAGGTCCCAGAAGCAGGAGGAAGCCAGCTGACTGCGGGGAGTGGGGAAGGGGACCTTGTGGCTTGTCCCCCTGGGGCGGCGGGCACCATTGCAGGCTTCTGAGCAGAAGGCACGGTCTGACCTCACCGCTCTCGGGTCGGGAGGGCAGGGCAGGAGCAGAAGGCGTGGCCAACGCAGGAGGCTGCGGTGCGGCAGGGGCATGGGCAGGCCTGGCGGGCGGGGCCCCGAGTGCGGATGTGCCTGGGGGAGGCAGGTGGCCAGCGCAGCCGGGTTGGTCGTCTGGCCGTGGCCTGTGCTGGGGGAGGGGCAGGAAGAGCAGTTTCGGGGGCCGTGTTGGATCTGAGTGTCTCTGGCTGGGCCGCGTGGTCAGAGCACCCGCCTCACTGGGGTCAGACGTGGGGGTCGGCCCAGGGCGTGAGAGACAGGACACCGGCCCGGCGCTGAGCCCGGGGCGTCCAGGGGGCCGGGGGTGGGGGAGGGGGCCAGGTGGAGAGATGGCAGCGGAGAGGAGAGGAGGCGGCAGCGAGCCAGAAGGGGGCTCCAGGCAAAGAGAAGGACGCCTGCGCAGGCGGACCCCTGGCGTCCCCTAGAGGGCGGACAGAGGGGAGGCGCCACCGCCGAGGGCCCCTGCCCCTCTCAGGTCCACCCGGGGAGAAGGCTTTGAGGTCAGAGTTGGCCCTGCGTTTCTCACGCAGGCTCCCTCGGGCCCATCCCCACACCGGTCACACGGGGTCTCCCGACATGGGTGTAGCCCAGCCCCCCGCCCCGCAGTCCCTCCTCAGGCCTGGGCCGCTCTGCCCGACGGCCCGCCCGCCCGCCCGCAGGCCCCGGCCCTCCGAGGGCGGGACCGCCCCCTGTCCCGCCCGCCCTGCACCGCCCTGGGGGCGGGGACTGAGGGGCCTTCCGGCCGGCTCGGCGGCGGCGGGCTACTCTGCACTCCGGCCCGGGGCCCCAGCGCCGACCCGGCTAGAGCTGAGGGACGCGCAGGGCTGCGGTGAGCCCCGGGGGACCCCCTCCCCGGGCCCCACAGCACCCCCAGCGCCCGCGAGTGCACTCCCTACACCCGCCCCACCCCACCCGAGGCGGCTTCCTTGGGGAGCAACTTTGGCTGGCGGAGGCCTGCTCACTCCCGCCCGTGGGGCGGGGTCCCTGGGGCTCGGCTGGAACCGGGACGGAGGGTTAGGGCCGAGGTCGGCGGGTCGGAGTTTGGGAACTCCGTTGGGTCCCTGGAGATCCCTGCGCGGGGCTGAGGGCGTTCCCCGCGCAGCCGCAAGGCGGGGGCCCCGAGGACCGGCGCCCCCGAGGGGCCCGCAGTCCTGCCCCCGTGTGTTGGGGGCATCGGCCAATTTCCAAGGAGGGGGGCGTCGGGGCTAGCAGGGTCAGAAGAGGGACACCCAGCCAGCGGGCGCTCCCTGACCCCGCCCTTTCCCAGGCCCCTCCGTTGTGCAAGCCTCTCCATGGCGGACGCAGGTGAAGACCCCACCCGATTTACTGCCCACTCTCTGCCCAGTGACCGCCGGCTCTGGGCCACTGTGACCAACGCCTACTTGGGCACACGTGTCTACCATGACACACTGCACGTGAGTGGCCTGTACAATGGGGCTCTGGGGGACACTCACCGGGCCGTTCTGCCCAGTCCCCTCAACGTCCAGCTGGAGGCCCCTGCGGGGACAGGAGAGCGGCTGACCACAACTTTTGTCCTGGACACTAACACAGGTAGCTCCTGCCCGCCCCGCCCCCCCAGCCCCAGCCACTGTCCCAGGTTGGCGGAGGCACCGGCAGCCACCCCACCCTGGTGTCTCTGGACCCGGGACGCCCAACTTGGAGACAAGGAGGCCCTGGGGGAGCGGGGCCCCGGGTCGGACGGGGCCGGGGTCCGCGGGGCGGCGGGAGCTCCCCGCCCGGCAGCTGGGCTCTGCTTGCAGCGCAGAAGGGCCGGCTGCGCGGTGACTGTCCTCTCGGCCCCCCGTGGGGCAGGCCTGTGACCTGCCTGGGCTCCGCCCTCGCCAGGCTCCTTTCTGCACACCCTGGAGGGCGCCGGCTTCCGGGCCGCCCAGCGCATCTACGCCCACCGCACGCTGCCGCAGGTGCTGGCCGTCCACGTGTGCGTCACCCGCTCGGCCGCCGGGGGCGGGCCCGTCACCCTGCCGCTGCGGTCGGCCTTCTCCCCGGAGAGCCCGGACTTGGACCTGCGTCTGGGGCCTGACTTCCAGGGAGCCCGGTGAGGAAGGGCCGGGCCAGCGAGGGGGGCCGGGGGAAGCCTGCCCTGAGACGCAGCTGTGCTTCTGCAGGTACCTGTACGGCCGCACCCTCACTCCGGAGCAGCCTGGGGGGCCGCAGCAGGAGGTGCACATGCTGTGGACGCCGGTGCCCCCCGCCCTGACCCTCGGGGAAGGCCAGGAGCAGGGGACCTGGGAGTTCCTGGCCGTGGTGGGCGGCAGCCGGGCGGAGGCCCGGGCCTGCCTCGCTGAGGCCCTGCGGCTGCGGGCGCGCGGCGCCCTGTACTCGGCCCACGCCCAGGCCTGGGCCCGACTCTGGGACAGCTGCGGCCTGGATGTGGGGGGGCCCCTGGCCCTGCGCCAGGCCCTCCGTGGTGCCCTCTACTACCTGCTCAGCGCCCTGCCTGAGCCCGGGATCCCAGGACATGTCTGCCACGGACTCAGCCCCGGGGGTCTCGCCAACGGGAGCCGTGAGGAATGCTACTGGGGCCATGTGTTCTGGGACCAGGTGTGCACCAACCACCCCCTCCCAGACCTGCCACAGAGGGTCCAGTGGCGAAGGGCAAAGGCTGTGGGTGGGGAAGCCTGGGGGCCGAGGCCAACGGGAAGGCTTCCTGGAGGAGGTGGTGTCTCGGCCAAAGGATGTGTGGGAGTTAGATGGAAAAATGATCCAGGCGTGGGGGCCAGAGCTGGGGGGATGCGTGGCGTCCGGCCAGGGCGGGGGCGGAGCTCACGGAGGCAGGAAGAGCAGCAGGAGGGGGTGCAGGGGCGGCAAATACTGAGCGCCCCAGGTGGACGCGGTGGCCGGGACAGGAGTGCATTCTGGGAAGGCCGCGCAGCGGCTGAGGGAGCGTGGCCAGAGGAGGGCGAGGCGCGGAGGCCCAGAGCCTCGCTGGGGCCTGGCGGCCGATGGGCGTGGCGGGGCCCAAGGAGCCAGGGCTGCGGCCCCCACTGTACCGCTGGGCTGGGGGAGGCTGAGTCCCTCGCTCCCGGTTAGGCAGCCAGTGAGCAGCGGCACAGTGCCCTGCACCAGGCTACCCGCCGCCCCCGGTCCTGGCCCAAGTCCCCGACCAGAGCCAGATGCCCCCTGGGCAGGTCCTGAGCGGAAGACGGCAGCGTGGGGCGGGCCGGCGGGGAGGGCCTGGGCAGGCCCCGGGGGGCAGCACGGGGCTGGGCCAGCCCTGAGGCCCTGCGGGGCAGAGTGAGGGTGGGGCGCGGGCCGGCAGAGCTCGAGGACAAGGGACGCCGCGGCTGTGCCCGCAGGACCTCTGGATGTTCCCGAACGTCCTGCTGTTCCAGCCAGAGGCCGCCAGGGCTCTCCTGCGGTACCGCATCCAGACGCTGGGCGGGGCCCTGGACAACGCCCGGAGCCTGGGCTACCAGGTGAGGGGCCGGAGCACCCACCCCGCGGGGCCCCTCTCCGGGGGCCGAGGCACCCTGCACGGGGCCCCATGGCGTGCCCGGCCTGCACTGCTCGGGGAGACGCGGGCCTGCCTGGGACCCAGCTGGGGCCCCGCACGGCTCTGAGCCTGGGGCAGCTTACGGAGGCCACCTGGCCCGCCCTGGGGGACATGCAGTAGGCTCTCGGGACCCGCAGGCCCCCACCGGGGCGCCCGGGAAGGCGGCACCCCCCACCTCCGCCCTCGCAGGCTGACAGCACCGGGGAATGCGCGGGCCACTCCCCCCGGGCCCCGGGGGACGGGGTCAGGTGTGTGCCCCCCGCCCCCGCCCCTCAGGGAGCCAAGTTTGCCTGGGAGAGCGCGGGCTCTGGCCTGGAGGCCTGCCCCGAGGGCGTCTACGGGCAGCAGGAGGTCCACGTCAACGGGGCCGTGGCGCTGGCCTTCCAGCTGTACTACCACAGCACCCAGGTGAGGGTCGCTGTGCGCTCGCGGTGCCCCTCTGAGTGGCCTGGGACTTCCCGTCTGCGGCCAGTCCAGGCGTTTTGGAGCCAAGCCTTCACCTCTGGGCACTTGAACGGACGGGCAGTGGCAAGAAATGCAGTGACCCCAGGGCGCCAAAGCCACGGTGTCACGGCCCCTGTTCCGCCCTGTCCTTCCCCAGGACCTGCAGCTCTTCCGAGAAGCTGGAGGCTGGGACGTGGTCCGTGCTGTGGCTGAGTTTTGGTGCAGCCGCGTGGAGTGGAGTCCAGCAGAGGAGAAGTACCACCTGAAGGGTGCGGGCGCAGGGCTGGGGCTCGCTCCTGGGTCCGGCTCTGCCTGTGTCTCCCGCGCCTGCGGCGGCCGGCCCCACGCTGGCCAGCGGCACCGGCAGGACTCAGGCTCTGGGCTAAGCGCTGTCTTGCCCTTTGTGCCCAGGAGTCATGCCCCCCGACGAATACCACTCTGGGGTGAATAACTCCGTGTACACCAACGTCCTGGCCCAGAACAGGTCAGGCCCCAGCCCAGCCCAGCAGGAGGGGGGGCGGGCGGGGGGGACGGCCAGGCGTGCCAGGGCTGCAGCCCCCTCTCCCGCCTCTGCCCTAGCCTGCGCTTCGCTGCTGCCCTGGCCCAGGACCTGGGTCAGCCCATCCCCACCCGGTGGCTGGCGGTGGCTGAGAAGATCAAGGTGCCCTTTGACCAGGCGCAGAACTTCCACCCTGAGTTTGATGGGTATGAACTTGGTGAGTGCACTCGGAGCCCCCGCGAGGCCCCTTCCCGCTTCCCGCCCCCTTCGTCCCACGTCAGCAGCACCCCTGTCCCCCAGGAGAGGAGGTGAAGCAGGCGGACGTCGTGCTCTTGGGGTACCCCGTCCCCTTCTCCCTGAGTCCTCGCGTGCGCAGGAAAAACCTGGAGATTTACGAGGCTGTGACATCGCCCCGGGGCCCCGCCATGACCTGGGTAAGGAGGGCGGCAGTCCTCCCGGGGGCCCCGCCGACCCTCCCCACGCACGGCCCCCCCTCAGCGTGTCCCCTGACCCCTGGCGCCTGACCCCAGAGCATGTTTGCCGTGGGCTGGATGGAGCTGAAGGACCCCAGGCGGGCATGGGACCTCCTGCAGAGGAGCTTCGCCAACATCACGGAGCCCTTCAAGGCCAGCGGCCCCGCCCACCTGCCTCTCCCCCGGGGGCGGGGGTGGGAGCCCAGCTTTGGGGGTCGCCGCCCTGATGGTCCCCCCTGACCTTCCAGGAAGAGGGACAGTGGCCTCGGGAGACCTGTGTCTTGAGGACCCGGGCCCTGACGACCTTGACCCTGCAGGTGTGGACGGAGAATGCCGACGGGTCCGGGGCCGTGAACTTCCTGACGGGCATGGGGGGCTTCCTGCAGGCGGCGCTCTTCGGGTTCACAGGGTTCCGGTGAGTGGGGGGACCCGCAGGGGGCGGTCGCCCGCGCCGCCCGCCTGCCCCACGGAGCTGTCTCCTCCCCCCAGGGTCACCAGGGCTGGCGTGGCCTTTGACCCCATGTGCCCGGCGGGGGTCTCCGGCGTGTATGTCTCTGGCATCTCCTACTTGGGGAACAGGATCGACTTCTCCTTCTCCGAGGGCACGGTGACGGTCGAGGTCAGGACCCCGGCAGGGCCCTGGGCCCCGCCGCTGGAGGTTGAGCTGTGGCCATCGCAGGACCGGCTCCCTCTGCCCCCAGGTAGGCTGTGACCCCCAGGCCCACGCCGGGGCCCAGGGCCCGTGACCCCCAGGCATGCGCCCTCACCCCCAGTGGCCCCCTCTCCCCACAGGGCGCAAGGTCTCCTTCCCCTGCTCTCCGGGCCGGATACAAAGCTCAGCCTTGTAGGGGGCAGCGGCAGCAAGCGCTGCCCCCAGGATGTGCTGGGAGACACTTACGAGACACAGAAGTCCACAGCAGCACCACCGGGACCCTTTGGGCCCTCCAGGCCCGCAGAGCCCCCACCCGGTACTGTGCTGGGCTCTGCCCCCGAGCCGGCAGGGCTGTGGGCGTCAGGGACGTCTCTGGGGTGCCCCCCTCTGGCGCTCCCCATGCGGGGCCCCCGGCTGGCGGCCAGGCTCGCAGGCTCCGGGCCGGTCTGGACTCTGTGGCCTGACGTGCGTGACTCTCCGCCTCGAGCCTGAACCCCGGGCCGCCTAAAGCCCCCAGACAGGGGCCTTTGCCGAGGCCTCCCGCGCCCGCAGTCTGCACCGGCCCCTCAGGGCTGACGCCCGCACCCGCCATGCCCCGGGGGGTGGGGGTGCGGACGCTCCGCTGCGGGGGCAGGGGCGGGCGAGGGCCACGGCATCACTCCGACGCTCAGCCCCAGCTTCGCCATGAGGAGCTTTCTGTGTCACGACGCGGAGGTCAGTCCTGGCCCAGGTGCTCTCGGGCTGTTGTGGGGGCTCAGCACCCGCAGTCCCCGACTCGGCCGCCCCAGTCAGGTCCGGCAGCCCCTGTCACACACCCTTCCTCGGCCGCGTGGGCTGTGGAGCAAGACCCCTCATCTTCGCTCTGACCAGCCAGGAGGGCCGGGCCGGGTGCGCACGGGTGCAGAGCCGTGGCCCGGGCCTGTCTGTCCGGGGCAGGCCGCCCTCGTGGAGGTTCTGCCCAGCTTCTGCCGGGGCCTGGGCCCCACAGCGGGCACATCAAGCTTCTTGAGGACGAAACGAGGATCTTGGGGAGGGCTCCGCCTGTGTACCCCCAAAGAATTAAAGTCGGGCTGGGAATGGCTGTGTCTGCCCTGAGGAGCGGGGGACGCATAATGGGCCACGTGTCTGGCCGGTAACTTGCTCGCTTGGAACAACCGGCCGGTCCCAACACCTGCCCCTCCCGCCCGCCTCCCTCCGGCCTCGTGCGTTCTCGCAACAGGCGCACCCAGTTCGCCAAGAAGCAGGCGCTGGGCCCGCGGACTGTGATGGGCAGGGCGTGCGCGGAGCCGCGGGGGTCCCAGGGCCGAGGCCGCGCGGCTGTGGGGTGGGGAGCGGGGCAAGCAGCACACGGGGTGGGGGGGCCTCCGAGGAGACAGCCACGTTGCAGACCAGCACGCATGTCAGCACTGGCTCCCCAAGGTGCGTGGTGGGCTCTCTGGCGCCCACGGGCCCCCTCCGTGGTGAGGGTCCCGGCACAGCAGTCCTGGAGCCGGGCGGGGCGCTGCTCCGTTTGCCAGCGGGGCACACGGCCACCTGCGTCTATGGGAGGGCGACCCTCTGCGGGGCTGTGGGTGGCAGTGCCCCTGTGCTGGGCTCAGGGCCCATGGTAGCCAGCGGCCTAAACTGGACCAGGGTCCCTCAGCCTGCCCAGGACACAGCCTGGGCGCTGGTGACCTTCGCCTCCACCTGGCTGGACGGCACACTGTCCACGGCACCTGGGCACAGGCTGGACAATCTTTGCTCCCCGCACAACCCACAGAGCACCCCATGCTGGGGACGTGCACTGGCCATGCCAGGCTGCGCCCTGCTCCCAGCCTCTCTGTCCAACAGGGTGGTCCCTTCTTGAGCCAAACCTGGAGCCCAGGGTTGGCAGGCGGTCCCCATCCTGGGCCCCACACTGGCACACGGCCCTTGTCTCTGGACCAATGTGGGGGCTGTGCCCGGCACGGGCCAGCGCTGTGTCCCCATCCCCAGGTGCGGCCAGCGCACCCCCTGCCCCCGGGGCTGGCTCAGGGCAGCCCACACCACGCTCCCGGGCTGGGGCACTGCGGGCACCCTGGAGGCCGAGGGCAGGGGCGCGTTGGGGACTCCAAGCGCAGCAAACAGATCTCCCCCCCTGGCCCAGGCAGAGCGGGCAGGCAGAGGGGGCTCCCTGGGGACGGAGGGGCCCTGGGTGGGGCGCTTGCAACCCGGAGCCGCCCTGCGCTTCAGGCCCTGCAATTAGCCTGCCCTGTCATTGGCCCGCCCACAGCAAGGCCCAGGGGACCGCGTCCCCCCCACACGGGGCGTGTGCATGTGCCCACAACCCGCCTGCCAGACCACGGGTTTGCGGGGTGGGGGTGAAAGACGAGGGCTTGCCTAGCACCAAGGATGCTCAGAAAATGTCCTCGCCTCCCACCACTCCCCTCTGCACAACTGTGCGGGTGGGGGCGTGGCCCCGTCTCTGCCCTCGCGTGTGCTGCGTACATGCACGGGCGGCAACGTGAGCGTGCCTGGGTGTGCACGTGTCTTTGCGTCCAGCCCTGCGGACCCACTGACACCGTGACCCAAGGGAGGGGTCGGCACATGCCGGACCCACAGGCAGGGACACGCGGGAGAGGCCTCACCGGCCTCGCGTGCACACGCGCGCGCGCACACACAGACCGGAGGGGCACACGTGGAATCCGGGAGACAGGCCCCCAAACCGCGGTGCCCAGCGGGACCGGGAGATGAAAGGCTGGCTTTCCCAAACTGGTTCTAAAATACTCAAGCGCCTCCACCCAGAAGCCACAGGCCACCCAGTGCCCAAGGGGACAGTCAGAGACCACGGCCGAAAGCGGCACGTTCGGAATGAGCCGACCCACCGCCGGCGCCGGGGCCCGTCCAGGGGGCTTGGCTGTGGGTGTCCCTGGGGGGATCCCCTCAGGCAGACACCCTGGCCCGCCCCAGCCAGGAACCAGGCCCAGCTGGCACCGCGTGTAACCAGGCACTTTAATTGTGAAACCCAGGCAGGGCCTGGTGGGGGCGGGGGGGGGGCGGGTCCTGCCGAGGCAGGGAGTAGGGGACCAGGGGCCCTCAAGATGAGGGTGAGGCCCCGGGGTCCAACGGGGGGCTCATCACGGTCGGCACGAGGTGCGCAGCCGGGAGCTGGGGGTGGGCATCGGGCCAAGAGGTCGGGGGCAGCCCAGGGCCTGGACAAGGGAGGGCCAGCCACTCAGTCATAGTCCGAGTCCTCGAACTTGGTGCTGAAGAAGGCGGCCGAGTCCCGGGCCAGCCGGGACAGGTGCAGGGCGCCGGTCACCACCAGCGCCAGCAGCAGCAGGGGCGGCACCACGGCCCACATGGCGGCCAGGATGTTGTAGCACTTGGCTTTGGAGCCCAGGCGCCGGGCCTCCTCCAGATCTCCCGCCACCTTCTGGTCTCTGGCCTGGGGACAGCGGCAGGGCCAGGTCTCTACCGGGGCTCGAGCCTGGGGGGCGGGCTCCCCGCCAGGCAGCCCTGGGTCCACACCTCCAAGGGCCTCGCTGAGCCCCAAGTCTGAATGCTGGGATGTGGCCTGGGGAACCATCACCCTGGGCTCGCCCTCCTCCTTCACTGCCCCCAACTGGACCCGCGGTGTGGCCCTGAGTGTGGGGCTCAGGTGAAGCGGGGAGGCCCCCTGCTCCTCCCAGGCCAGCGCAAGCCTCAAAGGACCCTCGGTGGGTGAGGAGTCACTTCTGAGAAGCGCACCCGCCTTGATGGGCAGCTCAGAGGCCAAGAGCCCCTGCTGTCCACCCGGGGACCCTGCCCGGCTCCGTCGCCCGCGCCCACCTTGATGGAGTAGGCCAGTGCCAGGAAGCCCAGGCAGCACAGGTTCAGGTAGAGGGTGCTGAACACCGACCAGATCAAGTGGTCTCGAGGCGGCGCGTGCGGGGGCCCCAGTGCCACGGCTGTGTGAGCGGCGCCGGCGGCCTTCCGGGGCGTCGGGGCCGCGGGCTCCTCGCGGGGGTAAGCGGTGTCCATGGGTTCCAGCGCCGTCGCCGCCGCGCTCTGCTCCCGCTCCGAGGGACGCCCAGGGCCGCTTATACCGCGACGCGCGGGCCCCCAGCGCCGCCGCTAAATATACCGACGAATGACAGCCCGGAGCCCGACCTTGGAGCGCGACGCCCCGCCTACCCTCCGCCTCCCGCTGCGCGCGCGAGGCTCGCGATGGGGGCAAGTCGCCGCCTCCCGGTGCCCCGGTCCGAGCCCCGCGCCCCGGACGGCCCTGAGGCCCGAGGACGCCTTGTCAGCCGGACAGCGCCCTCCAGGGACAGCGCCCTCCAGAGACACCGCCGCCCCGCGCACCCTGCTCCGTGACCGCCCGCGAGCGGTTGCGGGGCTGGACTCGGGCTGCGCGCCACCCGCCATGGCTCCTCCCCCGCAGCAGAGGGGCTGGAGGCGCCACCTCGGGGCCCCGGCGGAGGCAAGGGCGCCTCGGCTTCAGCGAGGGGACCTCAGGCCGGGGCTGCGGGAACAGCAGACCCTCTGCCTTCGGGACGCAGCGGACAGGCCCCGACCATCGCCGTCCGGACACCAGCGTCCCGTCTGCGGAGAACGGACTCCCCCCAGAGGGACCCCCGCCCTGGCCCTGACCCCGCTCCTGCTCAGTCGGGGGGGCCCCCCCGGGGACAGGGACAAGGCACGGCCCGCCTTCGGCCCCGCAGTCACGTGCCGCCGGGGCTTCACGGGCTGGGGGGCGCGGGGGAGGGGAGATGCGTGGGTGCTGCGTCCCCCGTGGGCGGCCCTTGCCCCCCAGCTGCAGCCCCGGCGAGCGCAGGTCCCCAAAGGCCACGGCTCAGGTGGGGCCGGCTCACCTGCCGGACACCGGCCTGCGGCCCCGCCGACGGCCCCAGCCTCCCCAAGGGGCCTGTGCAGGGCGGGGGCGGGGGCGCCGGGTCAGGCTGAGGACAGCCCCACGCCCCAGGTGCAGCGGCGGCCCTGGCAAAGGCTCACACCCCAGGCCTGAGGGTCCCCAAAGGCTGGGGGACCCTTCCTGGGCACTGGCAGGGGCTCCGGCCATCGGCCCGCCGGTGCCGCGGGAGGGTCCGGTCCTTCCTCTCAGGGTTTCTGTCCTTCAGGGCCGGGCGCTCTGTCCGGCTGCGGCCCGTGCCCGGGACCGGCCCCCGCCCCCGCCCCCGCCCCCTGAGAGGAGGGCAGAGCTGTGGGCTGGGGGAGGCACAGCCCTGGGTGCCTTCATTCACGGGGGCGCCCAGAGGCCCCGCCAGCCGCACTCGCCCCTGCTCCCAGCCGGCCCGCGGTCAGGGCGGCCTGTCCTTGGCCCCGCGGGCTCCGGACCCAGCGCCACCAGGATCAGGGCTCAGAGGCTGGGAAGGACGGACGCCCGCAGGACCCCGGCCCAGCGGCTGCTCCCAGCGGGAGGCCTGGAGCCCGGAACAGCTGAGAAAGTGCTGGGCCCCCTCGGAGCAGCAAGCGGTGGGCAAGGGGGCGGTGGGCCGGTCCCAGGGGCAGGCTGGGGGCTCGGCAGAGGCCGCTGCCCAGGAAACGCCGACGTTGTCACATGCAGTGCACTTTATTGGGTTCGGCGGCGGGCAGGGGGCAGGGACAAAGTGCTGTAGGAAGGGGTGGGCGTGGGGGCAGCGCCAGGAGCGGGAGGGGAGACGTGGTCCGCCGGCCGTGGGCAGCCACTACAGGCCTCCGTGGGCCTGCGCGGCCTGCGCTATTGCGCTGAGGACGCCTGGCAACAGCAACACCAGAACCGCGATGCACCCTATGGTCCCAAGGAGGCCCAAGACCAGGGCCCAGATGTTCAGGCACTTGGCGGTGGACGCGTAGCTCTGGGCCCCAACCACGTCGCCGACCATCCTCCGGTCCCTGGACTGGGGGGGAGAAGAGATGGTGAGGGGGGGCCTGGCGCGGGGCCTGGGGAGGGCCAGCCGCTGGGACTCGGGCCCTCCCTGCTGCTGCCTGCCCAGGGCACCTCCCCCCGCCCTTCGGCCACATCGGGACCCTCCCGTGCCTGTCCCCTGGCGCCTGAGCAGGTCCGGGCCGGGGGTTCCCTCCCTCAGAGCCTCTCAGCTGCTCTGGGGGCCCCCGGGCTCCGCCTCCCCCTGCCTGGCCCCTCTGCTGGCCTCGCCCCCCCCAGGGGTCAGGGTGTGGGAGTCCCTTTGTTCTTTCTGAGAGACCCAAATTCTGGGACGGTCCGTAGGGAACTGCTTGGAGTCTTGGGGACAAAGCTGACCCTGCCACCCCCGTGCACCCCGGGCAGCCTCATCGCGACCTGTACACACACGTGCACTCACACGCGGAAGGGCTCCCCGAACCCCAGGGCCACGTGGGCAGGAGGACCCCGGTGGGCCCCCACGCACCCACCCACCTTCACGGAGTAGGCGAACGCCACGAAGCCCAGGCAGCAGGTGTTGAAGAAGAGCGTGTTGAACAGGGACCAGACGATGTGGTCGGGCACGACGGTCTCCGGCTGCATGTTGACCACGGTGGTTGTCACGGCTCCTGAGCCCTGGGGCCCCCCCAGCACGGCCACCTCGTGCTCCTCCTTGATCATCTCATAGGGTGGCAGGACTCCGGCGCGGGGGCCAGTGAAGAAGCGCTGGGCGTTCTGGTTCATGGTGGGTGAACAGCGAGGGTCTCCTCAGGGTTTCCTGCCGGTGTGGGCTCAGCGAGCGCTTCCCCTCCAGCTACTTTCGATTTCTCCAAAGCTTTCTTTTCCCGGACTCTGTGCTCCTGGGGCGGTGGCTGCGGGTGTCGGGTTACACAGGCGGGGGGGGGGGGTGGCGGACGCGCGGGGGGGGGGCGGATGAGGGGAGGACGGCTGGGGGGCGCCCTGTCCCTGCCCCGGACCCCAGTTCCTCACCCCGCCTGTGAGGGGCCCTGGGGACATTTCTCCAGTGTTGAGTCGTCCTCCTGACGGGGAGCGGTGTTCCCTAGAAGTACGCTTTTTGGACCTAGGGGTTTTTCAGGTTTATTAGTTTTCGGAAGCAGAGAGGCTGTGAGGTGAATAGGGTGCCGTGGGCAGCCGGACCCTCTCAGGGAGCCCCGGCCGGGCCCGGAGGAGGGGCCTCCGCTCCAGAGGCTCGCTCAGTGCAGGAGAGGGGACCGCGGGTTGGGCTGAGGCCCTCGCTCCTGGGCTTCGCCTGGTCGTTTGCCTGAACCGGCCTCAGACACCTGCCTCCCCACCCCCGGTTTTGCGTTTCGCTGGAGATGACAGTGAAGGAGGGTCTTGGACGTCCCGGGCCGTTCAGGTTTCCGGATCTCCCTGGTGTACGCGGAGGTGCTCCTTCACTAAACCCTCGGGTTCCTACTCTTCCTCTGTGTTTAACGCAGGGGTGTCCCGGCCAAGAACTTACAAGTGTCAATGAATCCAAGTTTTTGTGCCTGAGGCTTTGAAAGGCCAAATCCCAAAAGGTCAGAGTTTGGGGTACGGAGTTTGCACGCCTGAGAAGACACCACCGAGACGCTGGGAGACCGAACGGCCCCTCAGCTCTGTCCTGCTCGCTGGACTAGGTCCGGGGCTGGAGGGGCTGGGGAGCAGGCGAGCGGGGTCCGGCGGACGGGCTGCCACTGGAGGGCCTGCGGCCTGGCCTCCGGGACAGCAGACCTCGGCTTGCGAAAGGGTGCACGTCCAAAGTCCGGCCACACGCTGGTCCTTGCGTCTTGCGGTGCCGGCACACAGATTCTGGTTCTGGGTGCAGCCGGAGGTCCGCGTGGAGGTCTTGGTCGGCTGTCTCTGAAATCCTCTCAGCGTCTCGTTACGTTGGATGGAGCCATTGTGAGCTGGTCCTGCACTTCTCGGCCTCACGAGAAACTCCGCGTCACCCGGGAGGAGGGGGGTCCCCGGCCGTCCGTGTGGCGTTTCCAGCGCCTGGGAGAGGAGGCCTGGGACCCGCGCTTTCATCCCGAGGCCTGGGGTGCGGGGAGGGTCCACGTGCCCACAGGAGCAGCCCACAAATAACTTCGGGTGAGCGCCCCAGCTTTACCTAACTGCCTCTTGTCACACGTGTGTTTTACAACACGATGAACAAAGGGAGTCTGGAGCAAGATAGGGATTGGGGCTGACAGACCCGCCCCCACCTCAGTGTGGGGCCTCACACCGCCCCCCAGGAGAGCTGGCACCCCACGTACCCGTTGATCCGTCTGTAACGTTTTTCTCCCGTCGCGCCGACTCCACCAGTCCTCAGAAGGAAGGGTGCGCTCCCTGAGCGCTGGCGGCTCAGGCCTCCGGGGGCCTTGCCCCGCACCCGGCCTTGCTCTCCCGCTGTGCCCCGAAGCTCTGCCTTCCCCGCCCCCGGCCCCCGCCCGCGCTCCTGCTGGGCCGGGTCGCCTACAGGCTCCCAGTACGGGCTTCTCCGCGAGCGCCAGCCAGAAGAGCCAGGGCTCTGCCGCCATCTTGCCGACCCCGACGCGGATTCGGGGCCGAAGGAAGGCTTGCGGTCTGCACGTGCCGCCTCGCGCGTCCTGCGCTGGCGGAGAACGCGGAGGAGCAGGACTTTCAGTCTTTAATTTTTTATTTGCACTTTACTGAATTCTATTTTTAATCGTTTATTTGTATTGTACTTCCCCGCCATTCATCGCCCTCCCGCCCTCTGCCACCTCTGCCCACCCCCCAAGAGCCCCGAGCTGTCAGCCTGCTCTTCATCTGTGAGTCTGTCCCTGTTTCGTGTGTTAGTTCAGTTTGTTCATTAAATTCCACATATGACTGAAACGCCAACGTTGTCACGTGCAGTGCACTTTATTGGGTTCGGCGGCGGGCAGGGGGCAGGGACAAAGTGCTGTAGGAAGGGGTGGGCGTGGGGGCAGAGCCAGGAGGGGGAGGGGAGACGTGGTCCCCCGGCCGTGGGCAGCCACTACAGGCCTCTGTGGCCCTGCGCGGCCTGCGCTATTGCGCTGAGGACACCTGGCAACAGCAACGCCAGAACCACGATGCACCCTATGGTCCCAAGGAGGCCCAAGACCAGGGCCCAGATGTTCAGGCACTTGGCGGTGGACGCGTAGCTCTGGGCCCCGACCACGTCGCCGACCATCTTCCGGTCCCTGGACTGGGGCGGAGAAGAGATGGTGAGGGGGGCCTGGCGCGGGGCCTGGGGAGGGCCAGCCGCTGGGACTCGGGCCCTCCCTGCTGCTGCCTGCCCAGGGCACCTCCGCCCGCCCTTCGGCCACATCGGGACCCTCCCGTGCCTGTCCCCTGGCGCCTGAGCAGGTCCGGGCCGGGGGGTTCCCTCCCTCAGAGCCTCTCAGCTGCTCTGGGGGCCCCCGGGCTCCGCCTCCCCCTGCCTGGCCCCTCTGCTGGCCTCGCCCCCCCAGGGGTCAGGGTGTGGGAGTCCCTTTGTTCTTTCTGAGAGACCCAAATTCTGGGACGGTCCGTAGGGAACTGCTTGGAGTCTTGGGGACAAAGCTGACCCTGCCACCCCCGTGCACCCCGGGCAGCCTCATTGCGACCTGTACACACACGTGCACTCACACACGGAAGGGCTCCCTGAACCCCAGGGCCACGTGGGCAGGAGGACCCCGGTGGGCCCCCACGCACCCACCCACCTTCACGGAGTAGGCGAACGCCACGAAGCCCAGGCAGCAGAAGTTGAAGAAGAGCGTGTTGAACAGGGACCAGACAATGTGGTCGGGCACAACGGTCTCCGGCTGCATGTTGACCACGGTGGACATCACGGCTCCTGAGCCCTGGGGTCCCCCCAGGGTGGCCACCTCGTGCTCCCGCCTGATCATGTCTGGCTTTGGTGGGCAGGTGTGGTCCCAAGTGAAGAAGGTGGACGCTTCCTGAAGCAGAGCCCCGAGCCCGGTGGTTTTAGGTGCTGGGCCAGCGCTTGGGCCCCTCCCTCTCGGGGGTTGTTCTGGTTTCTCGGTTTTCATTTCCAGGCGTTTCGTACGTTGATCATTTGGCGGCGTCACTGGAGGGCGGACAATCCCTTGAGTGTCACATCGCACCAGGAAGAGGTGCGTGGTGGGCAGGGGTGTGCGGGGCCGGCACTCCCTTCCCCAGGCACTCAAGCCAGCGCTTGTCTCCACTCCGCCCGCCACGGAGGGCCGGGCCGGCCCTGAAGACTCACCTGCCCTCCCTTGCTCCACCCCCGGCCCAGGACCGTGCAGGTCTCGCCGGCCCCACGCAGGGCCCCTGCCCGTGGTCACGCAGACCCCGCCTCCAGCCCTGAGAGAGCTCTCTGTGAGATTCCACTATTTTCTCTGGATGCGGCATTCCCCTGGTTTCTGTGAAATTTAATACTTTCTAGACTCTGAACTTGTCCTTCCTGGCTGTGTTTACCGGGTACGGGCTGGAGGGACGGGTTTGGGACCCTTTGCCCCGGCATTTCCTCCCGGGGCTCGCGGCGCAGCTCCGCCGGCACGCACGCGCATGGGCACCGGAGGGGCGGCTCCGGCCCGGGGCGCAAGGGGCTCCCTCGCCGGGGGTCCCACCGGGACGTGTCTGGGCCAAGGGCTCCTGCAGTTTTCAGACTGAACAGCGAAGCCTCACGCTGCCCGTGTCGGTACCTGCCGGCTCAGAAGGGGGGAACCTGCCCAAGGGGGCAAAGACGAACAAAGTGACAAAAAGAATGTCCGATAACAAAACAGCAGGACGCTGCTGCTCGGTGAAGGGCGTGGGGCTCAGGGGAACCCCGTCCCCGCGGGGCCGCGGGGCCCATGAGGCAGCGCCCCTGGTGCCGCGTCCGCTCAGCCGGGGCCCAGGGAGGAGGCGAGGGGCCCGCAGCGAGCACCCGAGCTCCCTCCCACACCCGGAGAAACGTCGGCAAATGCCCTGTGCGCCCCGGGAGACAGACATGCGAGCACATTGCGCACCGCGTAGAAATCCTCGGACAGACGCCAGGGTCGAATGACCAAAATACCATGTAACTGCAGCGCTTTGTGGGTTCGTGCAATTACATAGTTTTTCATAGATTGACCTGCACGGTTTCCACCCATGAGGTCGCTCCATTCGATGTGGACAAGACACTGTGTTGACATCTAAAGTCCATAACAGATGGCGCGTGAAACACGCGAAAACCCGTGCGCGGTAGGCAACGCGCCAGGGAACAGCGGGAGCCGGACGTGCCTCCCCTCCAAGCCCCCCTTTGCCCCTTTGCGGTCGTGGTGGAAACAAAACCACCCATGAAGAGGCCGCACGCACCCCCACGCTCACTGCAGCGCTGCCCTCCAGAGCCGAGACACGGCCCAGGTGCAGGGGAGAAGGGCCGCCAGCAGGAGCCGCCTCTGAGCAGGTCCCAACGCTGTCGTTCCCAGTGGAAGCGCCCAAACCACCTCTGCAAAACATGTCCAGACAATAAAGGGAACCACGTCACAACCATGTCTCACCAGAAACAAAATAGCAATAAAAGGAAGTCATGAAAAAAATGAAAAAAAAAAAAAAACAAGTAGAAATTCGGCAGTGAAAAAGTACAAAAGATGAAAATTTTACAGAAGAGCTCAGCAGCATACATGAGACGCAAAAGAGAGAACCTGTGAACTCGAAGGAGAGGGTATTCAGATTCGCCATCGAGGGACGAAGGAAGGGAGCATGGTGGTAAATGTGTGCGGTGGAACGTACCAAGGTTGTGGGTTCAATCCCCAGTCAGGACACACGCAAGAAACAACCAATGATGCATCAGTAAGTGGAACCACAAATTGATGTTTCTCTCTCTCTCTTCCTCCTTCCCTCCTTCCCCCTCTCCATCCTCCCCCCGCAACAAATCAATAAGTTTTTTTAAAAATGTTTTAA